ATATTACTTCACTCAGCAAGCAGTACTACTCAATTCCATGAGGTCATTTTTGGAATTTTTGCACTGTTGTACAGGATTGAAAATGGCAGGGACCAGTCCTGGGATTACAAGTTTTTGAAGGGTCTGGTGTATGCTGTTTTTGTGAAATTTTGAAGCACAGGTAGGCTGGGAGAAAACTGACTGATACAACTCTTATTTCAAGATGACTAATCCTATAGGATGAACTTTCAAAACCTGCTCAAAGGTAGGACAGAAACTGATAATATTCAGCTATAAAACAGGGAATAACAGCTTCAACTTATAAAGCCCCATTCAAAAAGGGCCTATGAAGTAATAGACCAAAAGCAAAAGATGTGCTTCTTCTGGAATATTAGATCATTACAATAAAGGATAGACGTGAAGCATCTGCCTTAAATTGAAATGTAATTAGTGTGTTTACATAATATACACTGCAGAAGCCTGGTCAAAGATAACCAGTAGGACACTGACAAGAATTTACATACTGTGTAATACAGTAAGAGTCTAGGTCTTGCAAATGCTGTAAATGAAAGAAGGAATGGAGCCAAATAAAATATATGAACTAACTGTATCAACAAGCATAAGAGCTGGAAGAATATATGACAGTTAGTAATCTCTACACCTTCCTCTGTCTGGTGTGGACTGTGAGGTCTCGTGATAGATGGCAGGCTCAGGACTGTCCACCACTGTGTATACTGCATAAGAAGGAGGATTGCTGGGCTGGTGAGAGTAGAGTTTCCAATCCTAGTCTCTTCCTTAGTTGCAGAGAGAGGAAAGAGCAGGAGAGGGGAAAGTTCTTGATGGGGAACTAAAAACAAATGGACTGGTGGAACAGTGGAGGAGAGATTGTAGATTTAAATTAGTATTTGGGAGTTGTTCCTTCCATACTGAAATATTTAATTGAATTTGAGTCTGGTGAGACTTGTAAATGTAAGAATGGGTACTTGAAACTTTCAAACTAGACCAGCTCACTTCTAAAGTGGTAAACTTGCCTGTGTCTTTTCCTGCTAAAGCCTGAAGTACAGCAGGCTATTTTCCTCTGGAAGAAACACGAGTTTCTCTTTCTTAAGACAAGATTGTCTTGGCTAGGATGCATTGACCCATATTACAAAAAAGCCTGAGGCCTGTGGGGCTGTAGAGCCTTACCAGTGGCTAGTTGAGAGGAACATAACTCAGAAATCTGAGAATTAGTTGAGCCACAGGCATCAAAACCCCTGGAGCACATGCTTTCATGATAGTAATGAAATGACAGAAATTTCACAGACTGAAATTCTAGATATATTTAGGACAGATCAAGAAGATGGCAGTCAATATGATGTGCTGCAGGAGATGAAAGAAGCTGCAAGGTTAGAGAAGACAGACTTAATTTCATGTCTGTATAGACAAACAGATAATACCATTTAAAATTTTTGTAGGTGACTGCTTTTTCAAAGAGCTAGTCAGAGAAACCATAAAAAGACAAATATATCTGAATTTGTTTATGAGGAACTGGTTTAAAATTCTTGAAGGTCAGTCAAATTCAATATTCTTGTAAGAAAGAGAAGGCCTCCCTTAAAAACAACTTGATGAAAACAAGCAAACCTTTAAAAAGAAAATAAAATTAAACAATCCAAGATTGCCTATGCCAAGCATAGGATTTACAGACTGCATATTAGACATTATGGGGAGATGCATTCCTTTAGTTCAAAATTATTCAAGCAATGCAATTAAGCTAGAAAAAACCCTGCCTATTTAAACAATTAAAAGAAGCTCCCTAAAAAAGCAGAAATTATATCCTATTGAGGATAATAGAAAAGGACATAAATTATGACAGATTCTGGAAAGTCATACTCTTAATAACACATACATATATTTTAAGGAATAATTTGCTAAATGCTTTAATGTTGCTAAGAAGTACTTATTCAGATAAATCAGAATAAAAAAGACTGCTAGAGATTCAAATTCAGTAGGAGTTAAACATGATTAAGGTATAATCAAGTTATAAATGGAGAACTCAAGAAAGAAAAGGACACAGCAGAAAAGCTAGATTAATTCTTTGTGAGTGAATAAAAGAGCTTGGGGAATCTCCCACTTGGGAGTCTTTGTTCATGGGGAAATGTCAGAACTGTCTAAAACAGGAGTGTCAGGTTTAGAGCAAGCTGATAAATGAAGAATAAAAATTCATCAGGTATGTGTCATAATTATCCATGGCTTCTGGATGTAGTTAAAAATTAGTTGCTTGAAGCATTGATCATAGTTAATAATTTAATAGTTTAAAATAAAAACAGTTTAAAAACTTGCATTAATAATATATAAAATGAAACTGTTTATCCAATTTGTAAAAGAAAGGCAGAGGGTTTCAGGAAGCTAAAATCAGAAGATCTGGTCTCTGTACTGAGCAAATCAGTAGAACTACAATAAATTACAGAATCATAGAATCATAGAGTGGTTTGTGTTGGAAAAGACCTTAAAGATCATCTAGATCCAACCCTTCTGCATTGGCAGGGACATCTTTCACTAGACCAGGTTGCTTGAAGCCCATCCAAACTGCCCGTGAACACTTCCAGGGATGGGGCACCCACAACTTCCCTGGGCAACCTGTTCCAGTGTCTCACCACCCTCATAGTGAAGAATGTCCTCTTAACATTTAAGGGAAAGGAAGTGAAAGGGGGGGCAAGGGGGGGAAGAGATGGGAAAGGAGGGAAGGGAAAGGAGGAGAAAGGAAGGGAAAGGAGGGAAAAGCAAGGGCAAGGAAAAGCAAGGAAGGGCAGTGAAGGGCAAGAAAGGTCTCTCAAAAAGCAACGCTAGTGTTGGACAGGAGTAACATGACAAATTCTTTCAGCTTTGCAAATACTGACATACAAATCCAGAGGGTTTGATCCTGAAAATTATTCTGTCTGGATGCACTGAAATGACCTGAAGTAGACTCCCCTTAAGTTTAGGCCAGGGACATGATAAACCAGGCAGTGAAGGATTCCTTCATGTGTACCAAACATTGGGTCTGAGACTGCTGACAGTCTGGTAATTTTATGTTGGAAAATTCCTTTCTGACATATGGCTGTGACCTCCTGAATGATGTAAATGCTGTTATTTTCAGTGTCAATAAGTATATTAAAATAAACAGGATCCCCACAGCTGTCAGGTAGAGGCTATGAGAGTAGAAACACAAGTTTAAGGTCATCGACTGTTATGGTTAGTCTGAGATTGAGAAGAATTGGAAAACTACCCTGCAGAGCTACAACAACTACACCCAGTGCTGCACTTACTTTCCCTTTATGCTGTCTTTGCCAAAAGAATGCTCTTTTTTTTTTTTTTTTTCTCCTTTCCCCCTCCCCCCTTATTATTTTTTTATTAAAAGATTTTTTTATTTTTTTTTAAATTAACAGACAGTTTATTTAACTGGCCTTGTATATGTAAGTAACTTCTCAATTCAGGATAGATAGGATTACTATTTTAACTAGTGACTAGTTGAGTCTTTTCACATTTACTGCTAATGATTTCTGCTCTGTACTGAGAAGTTGAGGCAGTTGTTTTTGCCATGTGGAACTACATACAGAAATATTTCAGACACACCAGGGACATACCATAGGCCAAACATATACAAACTCCAGGTCTCCCAGTGCAGGGAAGGGTTGTCTTTGCCCGTTGCTGCCTGGCTATCACTCCCCTTTTGGTTTTGTTTGAATTATTTATACCATTTCTGAACTGTGGCAAAAATGGGCAAAAGTCAAGATCTGTTTTTGGTTTTTTTTCAGAGGGCAGTGTGCCTTATGAATCTGTTTGAAGGATTCAATGAACATGTGAACAAAGGCTTATTTGATTAATACTGTACTCTGATTTTCAAAAAGTTTTGACAAGATCATTCACCAAAGAACATGGAAGAAAGTAAAATGAGGAAAGGTTCTTTCATGTACTTGGTTAAAAGAATAAGTGGACCATTTTTAAAGTGATGATCAGTGTGAACTGTTGAAAATATTAATATTTCCCCTGGAAAAGGGATGAGTAGGTGACAAAGTGAATGAGTACAAAACCTTTCAGGATAGAAAAATGAAAGAATGGCAAAATGTTCAGAAAGATCTCAAAATAGTCAATTTCTGGGGACTAAAATAACTGATAAATTTCTGCAGCAATTAAAGGAAAAGTAGAACACAAAGAAAAGTAGTTCTACTTGTACTTTGATTACAGCGATTTCTGAATGAGGCACCAGCAGTTGTGAAACATCTCTTAGAATTTCCTTGGACTGTGCTCTGGATGTATCAGCTCAGTGCTGGCTCAGCACTAGTCAAAAAGGTTAATGGAGCCTTAGGAAATATTACTGATGTTTAAAAAATAAAACTGAAGACATTGTAAAATCATGGATAGGTCCACACTGTTTCCTCCCTTCCCCTTAAATAAGTTATTAGAACTGGAGGCAGTATAGAGAAGGACAATAAGAGATTTTCAGGCATACAGAGCAGTTTCTGTGTAGAGATTTAATGGGCTTAGAAGTTTTTGGTATATGAAATAAAAATGGAGAGGGATATGATATCGGTTTAACAGACATCAGTGTTTTCTTTCACATTACACATGGCTAAATGTGGAATTTACTGCTAGGGAGGTTTATGGATTCTGGAAGTAAAAGCGAGCATGTTCAAAGGCGATTTGGTGAATTAATGGAAGAGAAGTTTTTCAGGGACTGTTAGATGCAAGGAAGTAGGGATGAGTTCCAGTTGGAAGGTCTCTAATGTACAGACTTCTGGAAGCTCAGAATTCAAATCACTGTAAGCTTGCTCTATTCTTACATTATTTTTCTAGACTCTCAGTCAGGTTACTGAGTTAAATAGAAGTATGGTCTGACCCACAGTAAATGCTATTAGGTTACACCTACCAAAGGTGTTGCTTTGTGCATTTTAACACACGTCTGATGATGATGATGATGACGACGATGACAATAATAGTAACAACAACAACATATTTTTTTTGATCAATCAAATCTGTCTCCTCTTTTGTCCCTCTTCCCATAGATATGCTGCCTGGGTTCTGTCACTGCAAGATTGGATATGCAGGAGAGAGCTGCGACAGATGTGCCTTGGGTTATAAAGGATACCCTGAGTGCCTGCCCTGCAACTGCTCAGTGAAAGGCAGTGTGAATGTTGACCCTTGCATAGGTCCCTGCATCTGCAAGGTATGGATGTCAAATTCTTCTGAGCTATAGGAAGATATTAATGATACTGAAAGACTGCAATTAATGGTTTTCTATCATATATACATAGCATTCCACTGTTCCACCTAGCTATGTTAGTCACTTCTCATAGAACACTTGTTCTTGGTCCTGTGAAGTCTTTTGATTGTCTTGGCTCATCTCAGTACACACTGTAATTAACACGGTTACCTAGGAGCCTACTGTCAGTCAAACATGTCCTTAGAAATCTGTAATGAAGGAATACTTCAGAAGATTGGATCATTTTTTCAAACTCACATCCTCATCTACTCAGAAACAGTATGTTTGAAGTATTGTGGGCTGTGAAACTAAACTGTAATATGACACCAAAAAAGAAAATTAGGCGTACCGGTGATGTATTAAAACAAATAAAGAAGTTGCCTTTTAGGAGTTGTCATTAGGGATAGAATCTCTTTTTGCCAAGTTCCAAACTGAGAGCATTCTTTCCTGTCTTGAGATGGTTGTTTAGAAATCTGTGATGTATTAAAAAAAAATAAAAATCTATCCTTTCTTTATGATTAATTTCTTAATTTTTATTATATTATATTATTATTATTTTAAAAATTATTTTCTCTATGTGCCAGCAAATTATCTGTCAATATTATATTGAACTAAAAAACTTATAGAAACACATGCATCTACATATAAAACACCTAGCCACCAGAAATGCTTCAGAAATTGTAGTTCTTTGTAAGTCACATATTAGTATGTGATCACGAAAATGTCCAAAGGACAATTTACTGCATGTGGGCCAATTTTTCTGTGTTGTTCTTGTGGGAGTTTCCTTCCAGCATTTAGTTAACAGAATTAGTCACAAATGTGGATTTAAAAATACTTACATTACATCCTTAAATGCAAGAATGTACATAAAACACTTAAATCTATCGGCTTATATGCATAAATAAATTGAAGCTCTGGTGTGACAGCTGAATAGCACTGAAATCTACTCAGAGACTTAACCTTATCCTCACTTTATGTAACAGTCACATGCTCTCTGTCAGAAATAAAATCTATCCATATCACAGTTCTAATTCCTTAGCTATCAAGTCTACATGAACAGAAAAGGTGTTGGTTTTTTTTGCTCTATTCTGACTTGAAAGGGAGCTTTGGCAAAGGTGTTGTATGCCTAATATACAATAACCACTGCTAAATCATTCTTCTTATTATGACATTATTTTTGTAAAGCCAAACTGAACTTTTAGTACAATAAGACCAAAAAGAATAAAAATAGAGATAATTGTTGCTATCCCAGAGAGTCCACACTATATACCCTATCTCCTCACTGTTTATCCTTTGTTTCCTTTCTGCTCCTTTAAACCCTTTTTAAATGTTTGTAGGACAAGAATGATAGCCTTTGCAAATAGCTGACATACAGATACATGCACATTTCTTCTCAGTAGTAATCTTCAAATTCAAATCCATGCAGATTATGGTAAGGGGGACACTGAAATAATTAGATTAGTTATGCACCATATGAAGAATAAAGTGGAATGTCTGAACGGGTTAATAGCCAATCTTGCTTCCCTTCTTTTAAACACATCTTTCAGTTACATATGATGAGCTCTAAATTTCCTGAAGATAGTTTTTTTGTAAAGAAAATTGACTGCTGAAAACCAGTTCTAACTATAATCAAAACAATGCAACAAAACATTATCTTTACCATATTAGCCAGAGTAAACTAAAGTACAGAAAGGTGAGGGACAATTATCAATGCCTCTTTTATCACTAATTATCTCAGAGAGCTTTCTGAATGTTTATGTTCAGCTTCATTTCTGTATAATTTAAAACTGGTCTGAACACAGTATTCAGAAATAAATGAGGCTGTAGAAGAATTGTTTGATTCAAGGTTAGATTTTCTTTACAACTTTGAGTCTTACAAATCGATTATCCACTGAACTTGTTGCCTACTCAATAGAATTATACAGGTTTTACTCACTGATAACATGCTTGTGACTGTAGAGTAGGACAACTTTTCATTTAAATGTGTATTTTGCTTTACCACTTTGTGTTTTTAATTATTTTTTTTTTAGTTTATTTTACCTTCCCACTTCACACACATGAAGCAAGTCAGCAAGGTCTGAAGCTTTTGAGACCAGTGTTCATAATTACAGTTAGTAGAATTGTGTGTGACAGTGTTTGGGTGCCTGTTAGCTCTCAATTGCTACCAAGATTATTTTTCTTATAAAGCATGAGTAGCTGGGTGATTTCAGCATACCTGTGGCAATTGATTAAACCTGAAATTGCTGGTGAAAATGTAAAAATATCAATCTTCAATGAGATGTTGAAGTTAAAAGTAGTTAACTGATAGACTTGAGTTGTATTAAAAAGATTTTTAGTTTGTTGAACAGTCTATATGATGTTGTTGAAGGGAAGCACAGTTGCAGCACAACAGTAGAGACAGAGCAGAGATACTTTGCTGTGCATGTCAATGTCTAATTGGTGGTGAAAACCTATTTACATGTTCATGTTATCTCCTTCTTTAAATGTCATTATCCCTTCTCCCTCACTGTCCCTGTTTTAATCAGTGCCTGCCATCCTTTCTCCCCATACCTCCAAGTGCTTTGCTCTGCTTTTTCCATCTTTCCTAGATCTTACAGAGGAGGCTACCAAGTGGCTTTTGATGAACCTCAGAGTTATGTATTTCCAGCAATCATAGACTATGCAGTTACTTTTTGTAATGTGTTCGTTCTCTGCTGATGTGGAGCCAAAACCTTGGATCATGTGCCTACCATATAGCACGGTCTCCAGGATTAAAGACACTGTATATAACATTTTTGAAAGGGAAAGAATTTTGTGTGCTATCTTTGAAAAAAAATTGAATTACTAAGCAAGCACCATAGCATGAGCCTTTTGCAACATACTCCTTGTAGAAAAGCTAGCTTATAGGAAATTTTAGCCTGTAGAGAAGTTTTGCCTGTAGGACAAATTGAATTATTCTGTAAACTAGCAGGACTTAATGCACAACATAAGCTTTATCTGAAAAATGTAATTACCAAATGCTAAGATTAAATTTCTTCATGTATGTTTAGTGCCTGGCTTTCTGCACGGCAAGGGTTTGCAGACCTGGCTGCACGGCTGGAAAACACATGTCGTTATGGAAAGAAATGCAGCCCTTTTAAAACTTGGATTTAGCCTGAATTCAGATATTAATGAGAGGCCACTGAAAAAGTGATGCACTGAATGACTGGTGCAACTAAGACTATGTACCTGTAGTTTGTATCAATTTTGCACAGGTGGATTTTATCAGGCATACCTACAAGCTACAGTTGTTGAGGCTGTAGCATTGTGTCCCATACTTCCTTCCCCGCTGACACTCTTTAGTGTGAAGGAGATAAATTAGATTTTTCCCTAAAATCAGGTGTGTCCATTCATGTAGAAGAAAAATGAGAAAATTTTTAATGTCCAAATTCTGTGTCTTGTTATTTACATGCAGCAATAGTGACTTCTATTGTGTAGAGGACTTGCTACTAATATTCACAAATCAGAATAATCTTTCTTACAAATCTTTGTAGACCTGCATTTACACTCTCCTACAGATCTCAAGTTCTAATGTGTGATCACTGAAGTAATGTTCTAACATGCTTTTCCAGGAACATGTTGAAGGAGAAAACTGTGATCGTTGCAAACCAGGTTTCTTCAATCTGCAACAAAATAATCCCAAAGGCTGTGAGGAATGTTTCTGCTCTGGGAAAACAAAAGTCTGTACACACTCCCACCTTACCTACAGAACTGTAAGAAAAATCATCCCTATCAGTACATGTCCTTGGTTTTCTGTTTCTGTGTGTTGTCCCTGTCTATTGTCACCAGAGTGCATCTTACAAAATCATGCATATTCTTTTATGCCAGATATAATTTTCATTTATTAGAATGAAAATGCTCATAAGCTTTGTTTATGTTCATTGTGAGCAAGTTCTGAAAAAGTGCAGTTGAACAGCAAGAAGTGCAAAAGAAGTCATAACAGGCAAAAAAATAAGCCATATGCATAAATACAGTCCTGGAGTGTGCTCACATAGTCAGTCTTGAGTTAATGCAACGTATCCATAGGGAAACCTCTTTTCCAGGTAATTATTAAATTTCTAGATCTGAAATAATGAAGAATTTTGAAACAGCAGGTATACAATATACAGCTTATAGTGGGGGAAAATAAAAAAAAAAAAAAAAAAAAGAGGATGCCCTATAGGGAACATTTTGAGTTTATTTTTCATACTGCATTCTTAGGAAAGGATGTGAAAGGGAAAAGAACTTTAAGTTAGTTCTCAAAGCTCAGGCACAGATTCCACTCTAACGGATATATGCTACATATTCACGTCTGTAGATTGAGTTTGGTAAATGTGTTGCAGGTCTAGTAAGTCCTGGAATTCTTCAAGTAAAATCATATATGTCTAGACTGCTCATTTATATGCCAGCATCTGAAAAATTTTCCAATCCCATGGCTGAGCTAATATTTCATTCTGCTTTTATACAGTCTCAATAAACCATCCTTGTATGAACAATGTGCTCTTCTCTGATGATTAATTTCTAGTTGTGGGATTTCAGAAGTTCAAGTTCTGGTGCTTTCCAGCTTTGCTTTTGTTTTCTAAAAAAAAAATAATAAAAAAAATAATACCTATATTTGAACATTTAAGTTGTAAGGCTTTAGAATTACTAATTACTATAAATTATGCTGTTTACAACAATCAGAAAATGTGTATCCATTTCTCAGCTCATCTTCCATACCCTCCATGACTGATATTATATACTGAAAACTTCTGTAATGTATGGTGATATTCTTTTGCATTTGTTTATATGATACCTTGCACGACCATTTGAACCAGAGAAAACAAATACTTGCAGTTACTTCAAACTACTCAAAAGTTTTAACTCCCTGTCCCATACAATAAGAGAATTTTTGACAATTACATTGAAATGGCTGCTGTCTGGATTCTCATTGTAATGTGTTGGTTTTGTTTTTTTTTATTTTGTTATTTTTTTTCTGTCACTATAGGTAGAAGACATGAATGGCTGGCATCTGACTGGCTTACAAGGTCACATCAAAGTCACCCCCAAGCAAAAGAGATTTGATGGGCATCAGCAGTTTAGCATCAGTAACAAGGCTGCTCGAAAAGTACTGCCAGAGACTTATTATTGGAGTGCACCCAGTTCTTATTTAGGCAACAAAGTAAGTGCAGATGGTACTTGCTTAAGCACTAATTTGATTTATTGAGGAAAGAAGTAAGGCTTTGAAGGTGGGTGGAATTGAGAGAAGATTAAGTTGGAATACCTACTTGACCACCAAACTTGCAAGCAGAAAGGAATCAGGTGTATGGAGTATCCTTGTGGGGCAAAATGTTAATTAGAGAAAATGAACTAAGTATCTTCAACCTTGAGCCCTCTTTGGTGTTTTGCTGCATTAGAGAAGCCTGTGTAGTTTGCAGCACTGATTTTTGAATGAATTAGTGGGTGTGTCATTCAACTTGTCCTGTTCTCTTCCTAAATTGTCCTCAGCTTTGAAAACCAGTTCCCTTGTCTGATTTTCAGAGATGCAAGTTGCGCATCAGATGTTGTGGGGGTGTGTTACAAAACTTTGGTGTTTGGCAAGAAAGTTGTGTGTGGGGAGCCCTAGAACTCAGAAAATGCTGTTGTGAGCTCTGTGCCATTTCTAATGTATAAATTTATCCAAGTCTATATGTGTCTGTGTACACATATACTCATGCCCCTTAGATTAATACCAAATATTTACTTTATAAACTCATGGATGCTTTAGTGATCTGACTATGAGGATTCTCACTACTAGACTTTCTGCTGTCATACCTGATGCCTTCATGAAAATCTCAATAACTGTGAAGAAAGCTAAACAGTTTTCCGTTTCCTGTAGCCCCAGTTATGCTAAAACTGATCAGAAATGCTAACACTGATACACTTGAACACATTTTCCTCTGCAATCTCTTAAGTCTAGTCAACCTCTTATGTATTTATCTTCTTCCTGCTGGCTGAAAATCAACATGACAGAAGGTAAGTGAGCATGTTGAAACTAAATAACATCATTCCAAAGAATTGGGCATCCTGTCCATGGCTATAAATTGTTAAAGATAGTCGTGATCATTTAGCTGGGCAAGAGAGTCTCTTCTTTAACGTTCCATGGCAGATGAACTTGCTCTGAGATATGAACTGATGCTTTTCCAGACAGAATTTCACCCCGTTTCTCTTCAGTGAGCAAAAGAATGGTAAGAATGTGCACAAATGATTTGAACATGGAAGATATTTTTTCAGTATAATTTGAAGATCCTTTGTGGTTACTGTCAGATATCTCTGTATGAATGAAGCAATTTGCCTTAATGACTGAACCATATAAATTTTTGATACTACAATAATACCAAAAGCGCTCACAAATTACGACAGTACATCTTAACTGTCATGTTTCATCACATAAATTATAGTCATAATGACATGCTTAGGTCATATGATTAATGCTATGGAAAGGGAAATGGAAATAGAATATTGAGAGTCCTTATTTGTAAACTAAAGAAATCATTTCTCTAAAAAGCTGAAACTGAATAAACCCAAATAGCTGAAAGTAGATAAAACATCCTTTCTTGAGAGTGGCTCTGTTACAGTAGAATAATTAGCATTTTAGAGCAAGGAAGCTTCTCTAAGAATTTTTGTCTTAGGCAATGTAGAGAATGAATTAAAAAAATTTATATTAAGGTTTACTCTTCTATTGTAATTTATAAATCTTGTGTCACACAGAACTACCTTAGCATTTTATTGTTAAAATTAGTGCTCTTAAATACTTTTCCCCAAAATAAAATGGAGTAAAAGGTAGTAACCATTCTGCATTTCCTAGTCTTCAAATATAGCTTACAAACCTTATTTTAAATAATTCTTTCAATATGAAGTTGGCATGTAGTGCATATGCCTCCACAATGTTGATTGTCATATGTGTGTTATCTGCTTGTTTTACATCCATCTCCAAAAGTTTCTTTTGGATGTAGAAAGATTTATAAATAAGATGCTCCTGAGCATCCTATCTGAGTGACACTGAGCTATGTGTTACTGGTCTTTGTGGCTCTAAGGAGACATAGTAAATAATAAGAGGCTATAGATGGTACAGGATTCTTGTTTATGTCAGAGTGGGATAAGAATATAAGGAAATTAACATCACCAAATTCTTTTAGTCTTATAAATATATATGCTGGTACCAAAACATAACCTTGATGTACAAATACATATAATTTTTTTGAAAGCCATAAAGTTTACATGTCTGAATACATAATTTGAACTGAAAAATGGAACACTGTTTTTGATGCAGAATACGTTTGGGAGTAGTCTGGAAGAATTGAATTTCTAGAAGTAAAATACCTAGTGGATAATTTGGGATAACAGATTTTAAATTGATAGTATTACAGTTTTAGTAGGTATCATAAAACAATTGAACTTCCTGCTTGCCTACCTTTTCATAGCCTACTGAACTAAGGATTGCAGCAGTTATGAGGACTTGTGGTCTGTTAGAGCTTAAAGTTACTGAAAATTTGTCATGTTCTATCAACTCAGATTACATTCTAGACATTGAAAACCCCCTTTTGCTTTTTGTTAGAAGTTTCTTAAATTGTTTTCACAATGGATCTATAAGTATATTTTAAACTTGTGTCCATACTAAAATATTTTATAATTTGTCTGAAAGAATTATGAGTTACATTCTGATGATGTTTGATCAGAACACTGAAAGAAAAGTATAAAATTAATTCAAGTAAGATTCCAAACTCAGCAGAATGATGTTAAACACTTGTTTCTTTCAAGTTAGTGTGGAAGGAAGTGTTGTGCATCCATAATGTTTCAGATTACCTGCTTGTTTTCCCTTGACACCAGGACAAAAAGCAATTTGAGGATTTGTATAGTGAGTAGAAGCTATTTACAATTAGCTGAAATAAAACATGATATGGTGCATATCTAAATAAAGATATGACTCCTCCCCAACACACACATGAGGAGGGGCAGCTGCAGCCACTTGAGATTTCTTGAGGAAACATCCACCTTTGGTTAGAGGAAGTCTCTCTGCTTTATATTCTCTCTGTTGCTGTAAATTGTATGTTCCTTTCTCTGCTAAGGGCCAGCTTTAACCATGAAGGTGGAGGTTTACCCTGCTTCTTTCAGACGATTAGGGCACTGCCCTTGCTCAGCAGTCACAGGTTAGTTCAGCCTTTAGGTGGAGGCCATCCTAGAATCCTGGTCTCTGAACATTGTTCAGCAGTCACACAGAAAACAGGTAATACAGGTATTATCCCTTCTAACACCTCTATCAGCAGATATTAGTACAGTCATTACTCAGACTGCAAACAACATGCTACTAGCACTGAAACACCTCTTCTCAAAGCCATTGTTTGCTTACTGACAGATTTTACTCAGACTGAGAAGTTTCTTGCATCAAATGTTTTTTTTTTTCAGGAATCATTTGAACTAGTCGTATAGCATAATCCCATTCAGTGTAAATAACGTAATCTAATCCTTCTTGAAGTCAGAGAATGTTGAAAATTAAAGCAAAAGATGCCTGAATAAAAGGATTTCTTAACTCTTAGAAAAACTCCAGCACATCATGATAAAGTTTTTTTTTTTTTCAGGAATCATTTGAACTAGTCGTATAGCATAATCCCATTCAGTGTAAATAACGTAATCTAATCCTTCTTGAAGTCAGAGAATGTTGAAAATTAAAGCAAAAGATGCCTGAATAAAAGGATTTCTTAACTCTTAGAAAAACTCCAGCACATCATGATGGCCAACTCCATAGACTTAAGCAGACACATGGTGGATACGTTGTTCGTTCTTTGACTTCTAGTTAAAACGAAGACAACAGCTGAAAGTTTTATGTAGTTTGTGCATGCAAAACAGGGAGGAGACTTGTTTGACTTAACATTGTCACTTCATTTGTTTTGCCTGTTCTTTTATAATTAGCTGTGTGACCTATTTGTTGACTTATGGAAGTTGATGTTTCTATGAGTCCAGAAATGAAAACACTGTAAAAAGCCTGTAGTAAATACATGCAAACTTTTAAAACCAGCCTTTTATAAGTACTCTACTGTAGAGAGCTAAAGATTGGCATGGAGCAAGCAGTTTGTTTTGTGACAGATTTTCTACTGCAGACTGCCCAGAATACCTCATAGGATTAAATATTGAATTATAAAATAATCATAAGCTAGGTCCTTTTGATTTTTATGTTTATTTCCTTCCATTTGTTTTCATTTCTTAGGCAATTCTGATGCAAAAAGCAGAATAATGCAAAGCAAATTGCAGTCTACAGCTCCCAGAGGGGAGGGAGTTAAAACCCAAACCACAAAGAAGCGTAAATAATACAGTAATCAGCCGGAACAGAAATGCCAGAATCTATTGTCCTAAATTATTAATGCATCTAAACCCAGAAAGCTTAATCTAGTATTGTCATAGCTTCAGATTTCAAGACTTTCTTCTTTCATAGGACATGATAGAGTTAGGTAGATCCACAAGTCTTTTTCTTGCATTTACTGCCTGCTTCAAAAAGAAGAACAATCTAACTTAATACCTTTTGGTAAAAATGGATGAGATGCAAATTAAATCATTGTTGGAAGCTCTGTTTTTCTACCATCAGTTTGTTTTAAAATTCATTGACCTTCTGAAAAGCAATGACTGACCTAGCCTATATATTTTCAACACTCAGCTGTGTTTAAAATTTAGCCAACAGACTGCTTTTAGTAGCAGTGACGGTAAGTCCAGTACTTCATGGTAAATTTGCCTTTTTTATACCCTCTGCAAAGAAGTAAGTTTCAGCCCCAGTTATCAATGTGTAACAAAGAACATCTCCCAGCTTGCAAAAGTAAATTGGAGATGGAATTAGGGAATGTGATCCTCGAGTATAAGACAGAACATAACATAAACAGTTTTGTACAGAGATTTATTGATTCTTAATATCTTGTAAGTTTTCAGTAGGATGAAATAGTAAATTATGGACATGATCCGTATTTGTGAAAGGAACAGTAATAGGCATCAGCAGCAAACAGTATGCAAGGCATCTCCACTAAGTGTAATGCTCCTGAGGTTACTCTGAGTTGTTGCAGTTCCTCAGATTTCTTTAAGTAGTGTCAACAGCCAACACATGGCAGAAAATTATAAAGATTCATTTGAACCTAAAGAAATACATCTTTTGTAAAGACA